CCACGACCACTTCCATCTAGAAGGTCAAGGGCAGCAGATACATGGGACGAGCACCTGCTGCAAGTTCCCCTCCGAGCCACTCACCATCCTGACTTGGAAATAGATCGCCGTTCCTTCACTGTCACTGGGTCAAAATCCTGGAATTCCCTCCGCAATAGCATTGTGGGCAAACCCACAGCAGTTCAAGAAGGCAGCTCACCCCCACCTTCTGAAGGGTCAACTAGGGACGGGCAATAAATGCTGACCCAGTGATGTCTATGTCCCACAAATAAATAAAAAAAAATACCACAACTTTGGGCCAACGAGTCTACGGAAATGCTGCAGCCACATTCTAAGATGACAATAGTAGAGACACGTGGAATAAAGACGTGATGGAGCAGGGTGACATGGTATGGGTTATGGTGTCAGATATACCACCCAGAGAGATAACACACCATCAGGAAATCATAGATTTATGACTAAATGATGATTCTGAGAGTTGGATACCAAGGTGTAGTTTATTTATCCATCAGCATAATTCCTTTTTGAAATATATTAACGTGTAAGTAAGTACAACAAGTATAACTGCATTTGGAAGGCCTGCAATTTCGGTTTTGCTTTAAATCCCACACTCCCATGCCCCCTCAGGGAGGAAAGTGTGGCACACACTCAACAAGGAAAGAAGAGGCACATAACGGCATGGCACAAGACTCAGAGGTCAGCTTCCACTCACAGACACAAGTCAAAAACGTCCCCTTCACAAGGGCTGCATCTGGGAAAATGACCAGAATGAGAATTTACAGAGCCCTCATCTTCAGGCACAGCGGGCCTACACTTGGAGCCACAGCCAGGAGAAGGCAGGGTTGCTGGGTATTTTGAAGACAGCAGCAAATGTCATTTCCTGAGCACCTTCAGGGTGGATCCTGGAGGCTGACTCATCTGTCTGCGATGCTTTATCAACTCCTGGGTATTCTCCATCCAGAAACACTGCAAGAACAACAGTAAACTGATGATTCTCTGAAACCCTGAGTCCAGGATTAAAACATATTGAGTCTAAAGTACAAGTCTCACAGAAAAAATGCAAACCTGCTGGAAATACATAGCACCTGGGAGAAAAGGAGAAAGACTGAGCAACATTTGGAGTGACGGCCAAGAATGAAGTGTGAGCCACCCAGATGGCATGACCAATACCTGCAGAATTCTTTGCCACAGGGAACTGTTGAGGCCAAAACATTGAACATTTTCAAGGAGGAGTCAGATATAGTTCTTAAGGGTTAGAGGGGTCAAACAGTATGCCGGGGAGAAGGGACTGAGTTGGATAATCAGCCCTGATCATATTGAACGGGTAGCAGGCTCGAAGGGCCAAATGACCTATTCCTACTCCTGTTTGCTATGTTTCTACACCACCTCGATTATCACCAAATGTGGCTCTTTGTTGTCCTCAAGGACGACGCTGTTTTATTCATGCACATATCTCATATCTCGATGGGCTGCTGATTTACTGGCTGTAAGCAAGCTGGAAGTCCCAGGCGAGTCACACAGAGACATGCTTACCAACACAAAGGTGCATCCGTGCGCGCGCGCACACACAGACAAACGCACAGGCGCACTCTGTCTCACACACACACAGGCAGACACACAGACAGGTGCACTCACACACACACAGGCAGACATGCCCAGGTACACATACAGGCAGGCACAGGTGTGCACACACAAAGGTGCAGGCACATGCACATGCACTGGTGCACTCCCACATGCACAAAAACACACGCACACTCACAGATACAGAGATGCACGCGCACTCTCTCGTTAATGCTTCTCAGGGTTCTGCCATTTACTGTATACTTCCCTCCTGCATTACACCTGCCAAATCACCTCACATTTGTCCAGATTAAATTCTACCTGCCATTTCTCTGTCCAGTCTCCAGCCTATCGATGTCCTGCTGAATGCTCTGGCAATTCTCACTATCCACAGCTCTTCAACCTTTGCATCACTCGCAAACCTCCTAAACAGACGACCTAGATTCGCCTCCAAATCATTTATATTACAAACAGGGGTCCCAGCACTGATCCCTACAGAACACCACTGGTCACAGATTTCCAGTCAGAAAAAACACTCTTCCATCACTGATAGTAGGAACTGCCGATGCTGGAGAATCTGAGATAACAAGGTGTAGAGCTGGATGAACACAGCAGGCCAAGCAGCATCAGAGGTACAGGAAAGCTGACGTTTCGGGTCTGAAAAGCCATAAACTGACTGAACGAGGAACAGGCTCGAGGGGCTGAATGGCCTACTCCTGTTCCTATGCTGTGAAATCTCTAAATCGTGATTGTGACAGGAGACGGACAGTGGGTCACTTTGGGCCAGGGTCTTTCCAATGTCTTTGGGCATAAC